ATACTTCGTTTTTTTCTCTTGTAAGCATGGGTATCAATAACATTTTCTATCGTTAATTCCAAAGTATACCACTATTTGATGTATCGCTATTTAATTAAGATTGTAAAACGTATTTGTATTTACCGTTATTCTATATTTTAGGAAGAAAAAATGAGTAGTTCTAATGATAACTCTGTCTCTAAGGTCAATGAAAGTAATGTTCCTAAGACCAACGAAAGTTGTATTTCCAAGACCAGCGTAACAAATGTTGTTAAGATCAATCGTCCTAACGTCCCAAACTCATCTAAATCAGGAAGTGTGGAAACTATTCAAACTCGTAAGTAAGCTTCATACCGTAAAATTATGTCTATGGTGTAAACCTCCAGCTGGAGTAATATTTGTTGAGATTAAGTCCTTTATTTCATTAAAAACAGGCAAGGATGAAGTAAGACAAGGTGATGCACGAGTATCTCGTACCGAAATCGTGAGGATAGTATCTAATATCAATTCACCGGTGGATAATAATAGTTTATTAAAATTATTAGATAAAAAATAAGTATGAAGAGCATAGAGTCTCTACTCATAACTTTTTTTATTTTTTCATGTGTCTTTGACACTGGGCTCTGCCCATTAATAAAGAAGGGGACAGTGGACTCCCAATTTTCCGGTTTAACGATCACTTCGTTCTAATTGGCTTATTTATACGGTGTTTCGGATAGGAGAGATAACCTTTTTCTTTTTAATATGAACACGATTCTTTCGGGATTTTATTGAATCGAGATCATACCAGTCTGAACCCGTGGATTCTGAATCGGAGCTGGATAAATTAGTCTCTATAGATAATTTCTTAAACATATCTATAAACTTCTCTAAATTTAGATCAGATTTATTCTCATCAAAGGCAGTTATATAATGCTTGGACTTTCTTTTTTTCTTTTGAGGGTAACTGCGGAAATTGAATTTAGATGAGGAAGTAAAGCTTTGAATTGGAGGTTTATCGATTTCTGTTTCAGAATCGGATTTACTAGAGCTGGTTTTATTACTATTTTCTTCGATTAATGGAATACTCATATCATCTATTACAATCCTAGCACGACGAGTATAAGTTTTGAAGGGATATTCAAAGATTATTTTTGCTTCACGCATCCATAACCAATCTTGCCCCAACACCAGATCGAATGACGGATTTTTGCGAATTTGAAAGTCTATTAGTTCAGTATTACCTAAGCTTTGCCACTTTCTTTTAATGCGAAACTGTAAATCTAAGCCTTTTATTTCTTCGCCTATCAGATCATCACCAACTACACCTTCTAATCCGTGATCTGATTCAAGCTTATCGAACAAGTGTTTGCTAATAGTATTACAGTGGGTGGACAAAAGTTTATGGACAACTTTAAAAATTAAAAATTAAATTAAATTAATAAAAAATTAAATA